CACACACACACACACACACACACACACACGCACACACATGCTGCAATTCTGTCATTTCAATCACGTAAACGATCGATATATCATTTACAAAAAAAAAAAAAAACGATGTAAAGATAATATTGTGGGAAAGTTTCAATGCTCACTACAAAAGGATATTATTCTTTCTATCGGAAATTTTTCTTTCAAAAATTAGCATAGCAAAGGGATTTATCGATATATGCGATTTTCAATTTTGAAATTGCATCCATCAGTCAACTTTGTTAAAATGTCAACCAAAGGCATTACCCATTTTTCTCAAAGGAAAACATTTTAAACTTCCAGCAATTAATAGGCCTAGTCATTTCTCCATGAAATAGCCAATTATTATAAAACAACAACAACAACAACAACAACAACAACAAAAACAATTGTTAGGTGAGTAAATGTTAAAAATTACTGCAAAAATTTTTGAACTGATTTTAAACTTGAAAACAAAAATATTGAAGAAAGAAATCCAAATCTTCAATGTGTATAATAAAGTGCAAAAAAATTTTTTTTTTTTTGATGTCAAAAATTTCAACTGTTTGAATGATTTGTTCGTTAGCTAATTGAATTAGACTAATTATTGCTTCTTTTATTTCAGTTACTTTTATCATTTTTGCATAGTATGAAAATAATTATTTAATTTTTGCTATCTAAATTTTAAATCAACGAAAATGATAAGAGAAGAGGGGAAAAAGAGCAGAAAAAGATGGGATCAATTCTTGCTAAAATAAATGAAACACTCTTCCTTGTTCTTTTAATTTTTCTAAAATTTCTATAAAATTGAAATTGAAATTTGAAAAATGAAAACTAACTTGACATCGGATGATGATGCTGCATTTTGAATTAGAATTGAATCATCACTAGCTGATAATGGTAAACCGGAACTTGTAGCCATCACGTATGATATAGGCCGTCTTCGATGTCGACATTGGGATTCATTTAAAGTATTATCGATATCGTTGAATAATCCTCCTAAATGAAAACAAAATCACAATTGACCCAAATGACCTATTTCGAACAAATTATCGATCAATGTTCTCTTCTTTTTTGTCTTCATTGAAATATTCACATAATTTTCCAACTTCACATTTCATTTTTTCATTCAATATTATTTAAAATTTTTTTATATCTCTATCAATTCATCCTCAAAATTAATTACTCATTTTGTTTACTAATGAATAATTTGAAAAATTAAAAAACTCTCTTTTGTATTCAAAAAGAAAATTTATTCATTTTCAAAATACAAAAACGGTTTGTTTTTAACAAAGTGAATCTTCATTATTCTGAATTTTTACGTATCCATTTTTTTTCCACTTACAATAAATTTAAT